CCAAATTGATACACGAACTACCCAATTTAACTGCAATTTCCTACACAATCCGAAAACGGTGTTAAGTGTCCGTTAAACGCTGACGTGGTACGCCACGTGGCGGCTGACGTGGCATGCCACATAGATTTTTTGCCACATCAGCATACCACGTCGGATTTTCAAAAAAAAAATCCGAAAAAATATGAAAAAAATCGATTTAAAAAAAATTAAAAATAAAATAAACAATCCGAAAACGGTGTTAAGTGTCCGTTAAACGCTGACGTGGTACGCCACGTGGCGGCTGGCGTAGCATGCTACATAGATTTTTTTGTCACATCAACATGTCACGTCGGATTTTTAAAAAAATCCAAAAAATATGAAAAAATTTGAAATTTTAAAAAAAATTAAAAATAAAATAAATAAACAGCATATACAAATATATATGCATATACATACATACAAGTATATTTATATATATACACATACATATATATAAATACGTATACACGTATATATATGAATACATATTTATATATATAAATATATTTGTATGTATGTATATGCATATATATTTGTATAAATGCATGTATATATGTGTATATTTTTATTTGATATATATAGAAATATATATACATAGAAGTATTTATGTTTATATTTGTATTTGTATGTGGATATGAATATATATATATATATGAATTTTTTTTATTTTGTATGTATGTATGTATATGTATATATAAATATATTTGTTTGTATGTATATGTATATATATTTGTATATATATGTGTATGTTTTTTTATTTTGTATATATATTTATATTTTTATTTGTATATAGATATGAATATATATGTATATATATATATATATTTTTTTTGCTGTTTATTTATTTTATTTTTATTTTTTTTTTAAATTTCGATTTTTTTCATATTTTTTTGGATTTTTTTTAAAAAATCCGACGTGACATGCTGATGTGGTAAAAATCTATGTGGCGTGCCACGTCAGCAGCTACGTGGCGTGCCACGTCAGCGGTTAACGGATACTTAACACCGTTTTTGGATTGCGTAGGAAATTGCAGTTAAATTGGGTAATTTGTATATTAATTTGATACATTTGATAATTTGGTATAGTTTTTTGTCGAATTAAAAATTCGTTTAGAAAAAGATCACATTTTAAAGGGTCGGCATAGTAAAATGTTATTTTCCCAAATAGTTACGGTTTTAATTGGATTATTTTAAAAGAAAAAAATTGGGCTTTCCCACGACAAGTTGCTACCGAATTGGCGGTTTTGTGAAAGGAATATCGGTTAGGTTTTCTGCCCCCAGACTTCGTCACCTCATCAATTTTTTTCTGTGGAGGGAAAAAAAAAATTGCACTCCCTTTCCCCTTCGATTTCGACCCTAGGGTTTCAGGAAAGCTTCAAAGCCCCGGCCTCCGCTTCGTCAAACTCTTAATTTCCGGAAGAGAAAATGCAGAACCGGAAGCAGAAGGAAAAGAAGAAGGAAACCATGGAGTCGATCGATAATCATGACCTGAGCTTTAGGAAGATCATGAAAGATGTTGAGCTCTTCAGTAATGTCCCTTTTCTTCTACTTCTTCTTCTCTTTTGCTATACTCGTTTTTTTCCGTTCTTCGATATGTGAATGAAGAAATTTGATTTCGGATTTAGCATCGCTTAGGTTTTCCAGATTCACTGTTACTGGTAGATTGTACGGATTGTTTTAGATGCTAAGAATGTTTCTGTTTACTGCCAGCGCCAATTTCTTCGGATTTCTTCTCTAATTAGATCTTATCTACATTGAAGACGCAAATTTGTTCGGATGACTTCTGTATGTCCCATTAGTTGGATAGATAGATCCACGAATTCGCACGGTCAAGGTTTTTAATTTGTTTGGAATTCGATTTGCTAGAATTCTGATCACTTCGGAGGAGGAGAAACTAGTTTAATCATGAACATGGATGGATTTATAAGTAGGTAAATTGGTTACGGAAAACCAAAAATTCCGAATACTTGTGTATACTTAGTACCAATTCAAAGCTAGTTGCGGTTCCTATGTGCATTTACTCACAATTTTTATTTCTGTGTCAAAGGAATTTCTCTTCCTTCAAATGTTTTCCCCTGGTTTTAGCATTTCACCGGTAATCATATATTATGGTGCTGCAAGTTTTATGCTTTCTTGCCCTAATTACTACTGTGTTAAGGTTCCTCGCATATGACATGGAAGGAGAGGAAAGCGATGGAGAACAACAAGGTTGTCACACTCGGTGGAAAGGTAAGAGAACATAAAAGTAAACTTTTTTAGTAACCTGATTTTTATGGCCTTCGCTTACTAAGTCTAATGCTGTTTATGCAGCCCCCGAAGAAGCAGAGGTTACCATTGAGTGTAGCACGAGTACAAATGAAGAAACAAAAAGAAAGGGAACAAAAGATGCTTGAACAGGTGATCCACCTATCTGATGTCCTCTCTTTCATGCCCAGCTTGAAAAATCCCCACCACTTGTCTCACCTATTTATTTGGTGTTGCAGAGCACGATCCTTGACCGATTTGGGGGAAATTTTGGTGCAAATACTAAGAAACCCGTGGAGAGGCGGAGGCCAGAGCAGAGAGTGCTCAAAGCAACTGAAGGGAACTTCAGGAATGGCGTTCTAGACGTCAGACATTTGCTACATTCCTCCGGGCCTTCAAGGGATACCAGTAGGAGCAGCGATTTAAGCAATCACGGTAAGAAGAATAACAAGGGAGGCAGCAAAAAGAAGAAAGGGCAGAAGAAAGGTGGCAAAAGGAAAAGCAGATAATCTCATTGCCTAAGAAATTTTCCGGGACATACGCTGCCTTAGGGGTGTACCTGCATCGATCTCGGATCATTGAGCAGCTTGAGCTATACTGGAGGGTGAATTTGAGGATGTAGAGTGTGTTCTGTTTGTTGCAGCTTAGAGTTTTAGACTGGTCGATGTTTACTAAATCAAAGCATTATGATTACTTTATTGATTTGATAGTGTTGATTCATCTTTTTTTTTTTGTCTCTTTTGGATTGGTTTCAGATTCGTCAGATTATTACCATGACCTGTCCCTGGCTTTGCCTTCTAGGTAAAACAGAGTTTGAGGATTGTCAAAATACAGCCATGGAAGACTGGTGAAACAGAACACTGGAATAGGAAACAGTCCAATCTACCATTTGATCCCTAAAACTGTGATTTGTGTTCACAAAAGCAACCATAGAGATTGTGTTGGAAAAAAAATACTCCTACTATTCGTATTAATTACAAAATTGAATTCTGCAAACGATGTTCTAAATCTATACATACCAAACATGAGGCGGTATCAACTGCAAGATTACAACAGAAAGAATTCATGGTAAGATCAATCGCTCTTAAGTGTCATCAACTGATCTTTCTCACCCTATGAATGTGTACAAGGCAACCCAAGAAAGGACCCTATATGCAGATGTGTTCCAAATCTTGAAATTTGAAATCTGCAAACGATATTCCAGATCTTGAATTCTCTGCTGATGCAGCAGAGCCAGGCTTTATGGTAAGAAGGATATGTTCTCAATATCCACAATGTTATCTGCCATGATTCACTCATATGTGCTGGTTTGCCCCCAGGAGATAGCTGTCACAACAGCTCATGTGGTTCACCTAGCTGTCACAACAGCTCATGTGGTTCACCGCAATTGCTGGCTCATTACCGACATTGAAATCTAACGGCTTTTTAAAATACCACGCTTTACTACGGCCAAAGAACGTCTATCTAACCGTATGTTCTTATGTGATGCTTCAGAAACAAGTGTGATTGCCTTATCGATATGCCCTTTCCTACAATAGCCAGATATTAGAGCAGCATATGGCACAAAATCAGGCTCCAGCCCCTCATCTATCATCTGATCAAAGAGTTTTGCTGCATCTTCAAGGTTCTCTGTCTTGCATTGTTTATCGATCAGTACAGTGTAGCAAATAACATCTGGCTTGACATCACTTGCATTCATTTCCGCCCATAATGTCAAAGCATTCGTCCTCAGCACCTCGTCTTGTTCAGCATCTGTACCAGAACAACATCTTGAACCCATTTTATGGCCGTTGAGCAAAACTGTGTACACTATCACATCAGGTTTAATTCCTCTCTGCTTCATATCATCAAAAAGAAGATTCGCTTTCTGCAAACGATTTTCTCTACAGTATGCGTTAATCATAATCGTGTATGTAAACAGATCAGGAATCATCCCTCTCGTCACCATATCATCGAACAACAGCTGGGCTTTTCTCAGTTCATTGACCCGACAAAAAGCACCTATTAAAGCACCAAACATGCTTTTGCTAGGTTCAATCTTAAAAGCCAACATTGTCTCCATTACGGCTTTAGCTTTGTCAATGTGACCATCGTTGCAAAGACTAGTGAATAGCTTAAAGCACACATTCTTGCTCCAAAAATTTACTTTCTTAGACTGTTTACTGAATAGTTCAAAGGCCTCTTCCGGAAGGCCAGCTTCACAGTAACCTTTTACCATGGAAGCATAATTTTCTAGACATTTTTTATCTCTCAGACTCCTCAAAAACTCTTCGGCATCTGCTACTTTACCTGCAATACACAAGCCTTCAATGATCACATTGTGAATAACAGCATTAGGCTCTAGACCTTGAGCTCTCACTTCGTCTAGAACATCACATGCCTCTTTTTTGTGACCATTCCTGGCCAATCCCCGGGCAAGTACACAGTATGTAACCATATCAGGCTTCAGACCCTTTTCTTTCATTTCATCGATCAAATTTAGGGCATCAACAACCTTACCTTGTAAACAATACCCACCTATCAAAGTGGTATAGTTGATGACATCAGGAACCAAATGTCTCCGAGTCATCTCCTCGAGTAATACAACAGAGTCTTCTACTTTTCCTAGCTTGCACAAAGCATCCAATGCTACATTGTAGCAAACTCTATCTAAGAAAATACCCATGTCTCTAACCTCTATGAACATATCGAAGGCTTCCGCATACATGCCGGTCAAACAAAAGCTCTGAAGGATCGTGCTTGCGGTCACACAATTTATTTTTACTCCCCTCTCCTTCATTTTATTGTAAAATTCCAGGGCTTTAACTAAATTACCGTTCTTACAGTGCCCAGAAATTACATTCGAATAAACATGTTCGACAGGTTCAAACCCATGTTGTTCCATGTCAAGCATAACATATTCAGCCGCTTCCATATTCATCTCGTTACAAAACCCTTTGACCACCATGTCATATGCAAAGATATCCACCTGAATTTTTGCATTCCTCAACCATACAAGCAGCTGATAAGCTAAAGTTGTCCTCTGATTCATGCAGAGCCCTTCAATATACGTCGTATAAGCAAACACGTTTGTTGTCATCCCTGCTTCTGCCATTTCGTGCAACAGATCAGACGCTTCTTCCAAATTACCTTCTTTACACGATGCCTTGATCACAATTCCATAAGTGTAATCATTCGCATTCAGACCGATCCGCTTGAGCTGTCGAAAAATAGACACAGCTGTACTGTTCTTCCCATGCGTAATCAAACGGTTCAATAAGAAGTTGCAAGAAAGGATATTCGGAACAAATCCCCCACGATTGGCCTGGAACAAAGTGTCGATAGCTTCATCAAACATTCTGAGACTAGCATAAGCTTTGACCAAGCCATTGGAGAGTAGGGTCAACACCATGGACCCTTCTTCCTCACCTTCTGCAACCGCACCTACCAAATCCATGACACTGAAACCACGTTCCTCATCATCTTCTTTAATGAGTTCCACTAATATCGAATCTAACTTCCTCTGGAAACCCCAACAGCAAATGGATCTAACAACAGCAGCGTATGTGTAAAGATCGAGCGAAACCCCATGTTCTTTAACTTGCGACAGAAACGACAAAGCAGTAGAAGGGTCGTCACTCAAACTATAAAAGGTCCGCAAAACTCCAACTTTATGCAACTCCAATGCGTTGTAATTAAAGTTACCTCCTTTCTGGGTATCAACCCATTGTTCAGAATCTGATACATTAGGGTTCATCCAAACATCACAGCAAACCGAAAACAGACGCTGATACAGAGCTCTTCTGAAGCATCTCCCATGTGAAACTAACGAAGTAGGACAAACCCACATGGGAATGAATCGCGTCAAAACAACGTCGAGAGGCGAAATGGGATTACGGCGAGAATCGTGTTGTGGCAATTCATACTAGTAAACTCTCGGGGTTGGGGAAGAAGGCCGTAAAGATAGAGCCACTTAAGCAGTTCGTTGAAGCCAACGTTCGCCAAACGAATCGAGAGTTATGACAAAGATCTTATGTTATTCGCCTGAGATTGAACTGAGACAAGGTTTCGGCTTTCGTACCCACAGGAGAACACGCCAGGTTTTGTTAGGGGTTTGGGCTGGCAAAAACTGGTTCGATTCGGTCCGTTTATTATTAAACGAACCGATTGGTTATGAAAATTTAATAACCAAAATAAACCGGTTAATTAATCGGTTCGGTTATCTTAATTATATATATTGGAGTTAACCGAACCGAGAGTCGCTCAAACTCACTTGTCTCTCTCTTCCCGCTGGAGATGACCAATTTGATTAATAACCTACTAATAAATGAATCGATCTGAACTGTATAACCGTAATCCAATTGAATTTGGTACAAATGAAATGATTATATTTTTTCAAGAATCCAAAAATCGAATAAAAAATAACCGAAAAACAAAAAAATCTTTAAACCCTGAACATTTTTTTTTAAAAAACGGAAATAAAATCGAATCGAATCTGAAACCGAAATAAAACGAACTAAATCGAATCAAGTTTAATATAAAAACCGAATAATTATAATTTTTTAAAAACTGATAATCGAATTTGGATATAACTAAACCAAAATTTGAAATAACCTTTTTTCTACCATCAAAATCTCAAATTAAATTAAATCTATTTTCTTTAATGGTGATTATTTTTAAAATTGGAAGCCAATAAAACTGATCACTAGAATAAGGATCGGACTATGAAATTATATAAAATACTGAATAGAACATTTATAAAAGTATTCATCGTAGCATACATATACACGCGGAGATATACATATACGGAGATACCACCATCGGAACCCGTAAGCATGGGCAAATTGATTAGAGGATTTGAAATGTAAAATAATTAAGAAAGTTGTAATTTAAAGGCTTGAATTTTCTATCTTTTAATATAATGTGTTGCGTAAATGGAAAATATTTAAGACATTTGAATTGTGCCGAAATTGCAATGGAGAGAAAAAAAATTAGCATACATTTCATAGTTTGTCATTTGGTCTCTCTATATTCATTTTTGTTGTTGTACTTCTTTCGGTTAGGGTATCAATTTTGGTCCGAAAATTGAAGTCCGACTAAAGCCTATCGGAAAAATATTAGAATTAAGACCTGAACTTATAAACCCAACAAAATAAATTCAAATTTTCCAGTAATATTCAAATTAAATTTCGGGTCGACTCCAAAAGTTATAGATCTACAAAAATTCGGACCGATCCAAACCCGAAATCTTCGGATCAAGTACAAGCTCAGATCAGGTTGAACCGGACCGATCTATTTGTTAGCAAATTAATAATAATTAAAAATTATAATGATTATGTTATGTAAATAATTAATATATTTATATTATTTTAAAAATAGGATTATTATATTCATTATAATATTATTTATCGCCGCAAAATTTGCACAAATGTTTGCAACAGTTCTAATCCGCGATGTTTTTCAACACCTTTTTGGGACAACGTTTTATATTTTATTATATAGCTCTTTTTCCTTTCTATGCTTCAGTAAACATTATTAAACTATTTTCAAGAACTATTTTTTTTCACATGATTTTTCTTTTATTCTTATAAAAAAATAACATTTTTAATTATTCCCCATTTTGGTGAGGATAAGATAAAGTAAAATCCAAAATAACTGAAGTTTTAGAGGTTAGCACTTTCAATGTAAGATTCACTTAACAATTAGAACTGAGTCAAAGTGCCGTATTCTTGCTTTCGACTATCTTCAAATTAGACACTGATTTTAATACATCATTTATTGATTTCTTTATTGTTCTTTGTTTTTACCAATTTTTTGTTTGTGCAGAAGTTGATGTGGAATTTTGTTAACAATTTTCAGGTTTTTTTAATTTTTTTTTTCGTGTAAATTTATCTTATATATATACATATACACATACTAGATGTTGCAGTGACAATTATAACACGGATTGTAAATCTGTAATGGTTTTTAATAAGTCAATGGTTTGTTGTTATCCTCAAACACTATAAAATAAACTTTGGAGATTTTGGTATTAATCTCTACTTTTTAGATTTATAAATATGTTGATGTATTCTGCTATGCGAATATTTTGTTTGGAAAATATGGACAACTTTTGCTATTGATTAGATCTTAATTTTTATGATTAGTCTTTTAAGTTTGGACCCATATTTTTATTAAAACAATCATAAATAAATAACTTGGAAAGAGAAACCAACATGTAACGGTGACGTCATAATGACGTGAGAAATTCGAGTTTATATACCGAATGATAATTATTGTCTGCGAGGACCGAAAGTAAAAGCACCCGACCTACCCTTATGACAATATTTCCAACAACTACTTTAATGGCCACCATTTATTTATTTTTTATTATGGAGCACTTTACATTAATTTCTTCTACATTTGTTATTGTTACTAAAAGGAATAAAACCATGCACATCTCTGCATATATTCATGAAAAAAGAAAACCAGGAGTTACCATAAAAAGATAACGCTGTTTTTTGCACTAGAAAACTATAAAAATTAAAACCTAAAATGCCTAATATATAATAAAGTATTTTATAAAAAAATTTGAAAATAAGGTGTGACAAATGGGACATATGTACCACATGCGTCAAAGATTGGCTTGGCATTACTAATTAATTAACAAAGAAAATGTAAGTTGTGACCATGGAGAAGAAGAAAAAGGACTGTAAATATAATTTAGTTGCACATTGAACCATATGCGAAAACGATATCAAGGAATTAGAAAATCTGCGATGAGAAGAGGGAAATGGAAATGGAAATGAAAATGAAAATGAAAATTACAAGTTTCTTGATTTTGGGTACACTTCATGCGTGTGCTTGTTTCATCATCTCCATTCCCCAAGATTACAACTCCAAATCCCAGATGAGCTCGAGGACGAAGATGATGATCACATCCAACGATTACGACGATTATAAATTTTACCCTTTTTTTCCCACAAAAAGCCGACACAAAATTCCAAAACGGTATCAGACCAGAAGAGCG